AGGTGAGCAAGTGCTCTAAAGGGAAAAAGGGTTGGCATTGCAGCTGGGCAACAAAACTCTTTTCAAGCATCTGCAAGGCTTCTGCGAAACAGCTGAGTCAAATGAGTGTTTTTTAAAATGGGTTATTTTAAAAGATGAATATGTCAGATTTGTTTTAGAAGGAAATATGGCTGGTAACTAACAAGATTATAAAAAAAATCCAAATCCAAAGTTATCTAAAGTGTGGTTGAATATAAAAGACTGTAGGGATGTATATATGCATACATATCTCTGTGTATGTTTATTTACTTTTTCTAGTGTGGAGGGTAAGATCCAGTACCTCACACCTGCTAGATAATGGCTGACCACTGAGTTATATTCCAGCCCCTGGAGATTTAAGTTGGATGGAGGATGAAACTGATGTTTTTGGAAGAGTATACTGGTTGAGGCTAACCTGGAAGGTAGTAGAATAATAAGAATTCACAGCCTCGGAAATATTAGTGCACGGAGAAAGAATTTCATAGAAAGTCCCCAATCAGAATTCGCTACTAAGAAGCTGATTCACAAACTGAAAAATCAAGAAACAAACACCAATCTTTACATTAGGTCGAGGATCGAATCTGGCAAGTAGTTAGTCTATCCTAGACGATCTTGGAAAAGAAGACATAGTTAAATGTAGCCAAAATTAAAATGTTTTAATACTGGTCTACTTTTATAGTTTATTTGTATTCAAGGGGTAATTTTTTAAAAGCCCAACAATGGCATCATCTCATCCCAACTATTTTTCTTTACTATACTATACTTGTCTCAGCATCCTACTACTGGAGACGGTTGTAGTCACAACATACATTGTAGCTTGCATAAGACCTTAAAAACAATATTTACTTATCTGAGAGGTGATATATGGAAGTTAGAGGACAATTTTCAGGAATCATTTTTTTTCTTCCACCATGTGGGGCCCAAGACTAAAATTCAGATCACCAGGCTTAGCAGCAAGTATCTTAATCTGCTGAATCTGTATTTTTTACCTCATTTTTTTGGTGTTTTTTTTTTTTTTTTTTTTTTTTTTTTTTTTTGAGACCAGGTCTCCCCACACAGCCTCATTCGGCTAGTTCTCATTCTATTTTATTAGACTGCTTAACACTGCCTAGGCATCTGCATCCTATGTTCCTTTCTCTGTGTCAAATACTAGAACAAGCTACAGCTGCCTTTGGCCCCTCTTTTACCTAGGAGCAGAGATTTCCAAAATGAAACTCATTTGCTTTTCCTCTATCCTTCACTAAGCAAAATTCTCATTTTTGTTGGGTATGAGTGTGCACACCTGTCAGACCAGCATTTGCAGGCTGAGGCAGGGGGACTTTGAATTAGAAGGCAGCTTGGTTTACGTAGTAAGATCTTATCTCAAGAGCTGGAGAGATGGCTCAGTGATTAAGAGCACTGGCTGTTCTTCCAGGGGAGCTGGGTTCAATTCCCAACACCCACATGAGAGCACACAAATGCCTGTAACTCTATTTCCAGGGGATCTGACACCTTCACACAGACATACATGTAGGCAAAACACCAATGCACATAATAAAAATAAATAACTAAAAATAAAATAAAGATCTTATTTCAAAATTGATTAAGTGAGTAAGTAAGTAAATAAATAAATACAAATTCTGAAATCTGAGTGTGCATGCTTGTTATTCAAGCACTGGGGAGGCAGAGGTGGGGATTCTTGGGGCTTACTGACCAGCCTAGCCTACTTGGCAAGCTTCAGACCAGTGAAAGATTCAGTCTCAAAAACAAACTAAAAAGACAGTGTCTGAAAAATAACGTCTGAGTTTGTCCTCTGGCATATACTTATTTGTACCTTCACATGCATACATGTATACAAACATGAATACACATGAAACGCAACTTTTGGACTACCTCACCTAGATTTAGGAAAACAACTAATGGTTTGTCTTATAATCCTTCTAATATTGTTCGCACATTAATTCAAGTGTTGTAACATCCCATGGGGGTAAGATGGATCAAGAGGTAAAAGGATTTTGCCTAACAAGCCTGATGACTTAAGTTTGATTCATGGAACCCATCCCTGACCTCCACATTGGCATTGAAGCTTGCATACACACGCACGCACACACACACACACACACACACACACACACACACACACACACACACGGACTCTGTTCATTTCACTCCCATTTCTTCTTCCTCTGGATTACATTTTATACCTTTTGTAGTAACTAAATCCTTTTATCCATGACCCCAAACCTCTGGCTACCTGGATGTAGATTTTTCTTTTCTCTTATCTCATAATATTGTGTGTGTGTATGTGTGTATGTACACATGCATGGGACACATGTGGAGCCAGAGGACAACTTTCAGAAATAGATTCTCTTTTTCCCCTGTGGGTTCTAGGGGATTGAATTCAGGTCATCAGGCTTATACAGCAAGAGCATATTACCTGCTGAGTAATCTTGCCAGCTCTAGCTACTTCTTCATGTTTTTTTCTTTCTCCCTATTAAAATTCTCTGTAATATGTCCTACTTTTTGTGAGCTTTACTAGCTAAAGAGATATGTTAACATACCCAGGTATGCTAATTATTTACTTTTTCTAAGTGAATACTCTTCTGATAGGTATGCAGTGGGAGTCACTTGTACAGCCACATTGATGACCACTGATGATACATACTCCCAAACACCTCCATGGGGTATCTGCTCAGTAAATACATTTGTTGATAAAAGAGAAAGGCAAGCGAAAGTAATCTGAAATACTGTCATGCTGGCACTGTGCTGATGTCTCTCTTGCAAGGATATGGATGGCCAAGGCAAGAGGATCACTGAGTCCAGGAATTCAGGAGCATGGCCAAAGCACCTGAGACCTTTGAGACATGATGGAGAAAACAAACCTAAGAACCCATGAGGTAGAAGAAAGAGCTGGAGAGAGCCAGTGGAAGACCGGTTCCAGCCCTCACTGGGTTTAACAGAGTTAAAATTGTTATGGGTTGTTTAGATAGAAAAGATTTTCATCTTTATCTTGGAATAACTAGTGGTAAAACAGCCAACCGCACTGTGTTTACAACAGCATTGGTGAGGTTGGATAGATCCCCCACCCTGTCCAACTTCCTGTGATAAAATGTTACATTTTGTAACCTGTTGTACTCTGGATGTGAAGCATTTTTGCACAGCATTGTGATACTGTATGTTTTGTCCAGGTTTTACTGTAATGCTTCCTCCCATCATCCAGAGTTGACTGCAGAAGCCATAACAGACTTGCCTTTCTCCGGTAGACTGCTTTTCAGTTTTGTATGAGCATCTCAAGATGTGACTTCTTCCTTTAAGGTTTGTTTGTTTATTTATTTATTATTTATTTATTTATTATTTATTTATAAACAAGACAGGGTTTCTCTGTGTAGCCCCAGGCTGTCCTGAAACTCACTCTGTAGACCAGGCTGGCCTCGAACTCAGATATTTGCCTGTCTCTGACTTCCGAGTGCTGGGATTAAAGGCATGCCCCACCACACCCTAAGATTTATTTTTAATTACTTGTATATGTGTGTGTGTCTATGTGGGGGTTGTGCATGTGAGTATAGGTGTCTTCAGAGGCCAGAGGTATTGGATCCCCTGAGCTGGAGTTACAGACACTTGTGAGGCACTTGCTATAGGTGCTTGGAACTGAACTCTAGGTCCTTTGCAACTGCAACAATGTGTCATTAACCACTATGCCATCTCCCCAGTCCTTCACCTTATTTTTTGATCTTTTATATTAAGATCTCTTATATTAAGATCTATCACTGAATCTAGAGCTCACCAATTGGCTAAACTGGTTGACCAAGAAGCATCAAGACTTCTCTTGTTTCTACCTTCCATGTGGTACAGGCACACGCTGCTGTACTCAGCTTTTACGTGAGTACTGGTAATTCAAAGTCAGTCCTCATGCATGTGCAGTGAACATTTTACCAACTAAGCCATCTTCACAGTACTTGACTAACATTATTTTTAAATAAAAATTTAATCACTAAAAGTACTGTAGGTATGGATAAAGTATCTTATTTGGTAATAATATAAATATGTAAGTTGTTTGCCAAATTGCAAAAGGCATAGTACAATGTATAATCATCTTCTCTATAGACAAGTTCAATTTAAAATAACTACCCTACAAGCTGAATTACCAGTCTTTTTAAAAAAGTTTATTTTTATTACATGCGTATAAGTGTTTGTCTACATGTATGTATGTGCACAATGTACATGCCTGGTACCTATGGAAGCCAGAAGCCAAAGTAGGTTCCCTGAATAGGTACTGGAAATTGAATAGAAATCCTCAGCAAGAGCAGCCAGTGCTCTTAACTGCTTAGCTATCTCTCCAGCCCCTACTAGTCTGTTCTGAGATAAAAAGCCTGGGAAAGAATGCATTTCAACACATTGCCTCCTCACCAAGAAAGATATTTCAGGTGAAATACACTGTAACTGACACAGGTCTACAAATTATACTTTGGGTAACAGTATCTCATATCACCTCCTCAGGTTTTTTGTTTTGTTTTGTTTTGGTGTGTGTGTGTGTGTGTGTGTGTGTGTGTGTGTGTGTGTGTATGGCTTGTTATGTTTGCATTTTCTGCTCTATTGATTAAATCCAGGACCTCACACATGCTACCCAAGTGCTTCACCACTGAGCTACATTTCCAACCCAACTCCTTCAACTTTAATCCAAGTTGACACAATTTTAAAAAGGTATTTTTCTCATGCCAAAGTTTCTGTATCATTTCTCATTCTGAAATTTACTGGGATTAATTAATTAGTGTGTTTTTCTCTGGATTTTTCCCAGTCTTCTTATTTATAGTTTAGGATTCTAATAATGGTCAGAAGAATGTTATAACAGCCAAGAATAGTAACATACTGGTAAAATTTTTAATTAGTATATTCAGAACTACAATTTTAAAATAGATTGTATAATAGCACCAGTAAAATAACAGCTTTGAAAACTTTATTTAACTTTTTAAAAGATACAAAATCACCTAGTCTTCAGCACTGACCTAAGTATTCCATCAGCTGCTCCGCAGTTATGATTTCCATCATTGGTGGAAGTTTCACCTGAAAAAAGAAAGTATTATTTCTATAAAGATGTTTTTGATGACTGATTGTTTCCTTTAGTCAAAAGCAAGTACACATGTGCAGGCAGATAGACACAAACACCTACTATATAAATATATTGACATTTATGCTTATATAATAAAGTCATCCAGGCATGTGGCTCATGTGTATACTCCCAGTACTCAGTAGAAGGATGACCATGAGTTTTAAATAAACTTGACTTAAAAAGTGTGACTTTTTCTCAAAAAAATGCAAATAAGGGTGAACTTGATAAGTGAGCTTGATGACCTGAGTCTGACCCCGGGAACTCGGGATGAGAGGACAGAATGGACTCTTACAGTTGTGCTCTGACTTACACACACTGTGATACATGTGCACATCAAGACACACATGATTCCTTACTCACATCTCATACACACATATACACTATGAAGGGTATGTTAAAATAACAGAAAGGGATGATAAATGCCCCCAGAAAAAGATTGCATAATGCTTTATTAACTTTAAATTTTAAATGCTAATGAGAAAGGAACAGCTGTGGAGAGACATAGGATAATAGAAAAAAACTATGAAATTAAATCAGCCAGTAAGTATTCAATGATAGGAGAAGACTATAATTAAAAATATATTAGTCACTATGTTCTGTTCAACCAAGGAAAGTGTTTAAATTATCAATTTCTCCAAAAGCTCCCTTGTTAAATTGTTAACGAAGGCATTCTAAGTTTATGCTATCAAGCGTGCTGATGACATATTAAAATGTTTTTGATCAATGATAAATTTTCAAAATGATTGATAAAAAACATAGCAGTGTTAGCCTCTCTGAAAACACATATGACAGCTGATGCTTAGGGTCCAGTTATCTTTTGGATTTATCACTCTGTGAAAACCAAGATACACCACACAAGCTTGCTCATCATATTATTCTTAATGAATTTTATTCTCTGTAACAATGTATTCTAAAGAATAATTTTGGCTGCAGGCAGCATTCTAGTTACTGTCTAGTTTAATGCCTTATTGTAGTGTACTCAATAAACCATCCTTCTAAAAAAGGTAATTTTTTAAACAAAAGATTTACTTTGTTTACGTATATGTATATATCTAGATGGTTATGTGTCATGTGTGTACACATACTCAGAGGCCAGAAAAGGGTGCTAGATCTCATGGAACTGGGTTATAGGCAGTTATGAGTCACAGCAGGGGTGTGGAAAACCAAACTCAGGTCCTCTGCAAGAGTTGTATGTGTTCTGAGCTACTGAGCCAGCTCTGCAGCCCACTTTCTACATAATTTTAACATTGAAGCTCACTTGCAAATCATAGCTTGCTGTGATTTTCTAACAAAAAGTTGGGTTTCTTACTCACATTATTTATGTATTCTTTGGCCATATTTCAATATATTCTACATTTTTTGTATTACAGTAGCAAAGTTTAATTTCTCTAACAGAGACTCCTAAAACACAAAGCCTAAAACGATTACTAACTAGTTTTTAATTTTTTTTATTTTATGTTTTATGTATGGGTGTTTTGCCTGCATGTATGTCTGTGCACCATTCATATGGTTGGTGCCCATAGAAGCTAAGAGCAGGCCAGAAGAGAGCATCAAATCCAATGGAACTGGAGTTACAGATGGTGGTTGTTGAGCTGCCAAAAGGGTACTGGGAATTGGACCAGGTCCTCTGGAAGAGCAGCCAGTGTGCTCTTAACCCCTGAGCTATCTATCATCTCTCCATACCTACTAAGTAGTTCTTTACAGGACAATTTACTAACTTTTGCTTTAGACTATTCTAGTTATCATTATACAGTATTTATCAAGGTGTTTCAGTATCATATTTGGAGTGCTGATATCTAGTTAATTTTTTGTATTCTAAAGATGGAACTCTCAGTTTCACAGCAATCTGAAAGGAACATTCATACATATTAATGTCTTCTAAAATTATTATTATTATTTTTGGGAAAGGTCCTCACTATATAGCCTTACCTTGCCTGGAGTCCACTATGTAGACCAGGCTGGCCTCAGACTCACAAAGATCTACTTGTCTCTGCTTCCTGCATGCTGAGATTAAAGATGTATGCCACCATCAGTCTGTTTCTACATCTTTTGACATTTATTTATTTTGTGTTTGTACCTGTATGGTGTGCCCATGTGCCTGAGGATACTTGTGGAGGTCATAAGATAACTTGCCAGAGTCTATTCTCTCCTTCCACCATTTGGGTCCTAGGAATCGAACTCAGACTGTCAGGCTTGGTGGCAAGCACCTTTACCTGTTGAATCTTGTTGCCAACTTAAATGATGCTGTTTTTTTTTTTAAGAATTATGTGTTCTCTTATTTAAGACAGATTCAATGTGACAAATTCATCAAAAGATTTCATGAACAAATAATTTATCCTTTCTCAAGGGGCCTGCAAGATAGTACAGCAGGTAAAGGCACTTTCCAAGCCCAATGATCTGACAATTAGAGTTCTATTCTCTGAATCCTTATAATGGAGGGAGAAGCAGGTTGTCCTCTGACCTCTACACATGGACTGTGGTGTACCCTCCCAATACATAAATAAATGTAAAAACAAGAAAAAAGAAACCCTTCTTTTTAATTTCGGCAATCTTGTAAAATTAAGAAGCTGAAGAGACAGGGGCTGTAGCTTAGTGGTGGAGCTGCGTTCACCATGGACAAGGTCTGAGGTTCAGCCACCAAGACCAGAGGATAAGAATAAGATGGAGACACTGAAGAGTATATGAATTTGGCATATACATCCTATAATCTTAGGGGTCTATGTAATTTCAGATCATGGCCTTGAGCTTTCCAAGAGGAGACTGCCTACTGTGCCCTGTCCTAAGCACATAAAATGAGAATGACTACCTCTATACTGATATTAGAAGTAGCCTCAAGAGAGGTCAAAGGTAAAAACAATAAAATCTTGTGTTTAATATATTAGTGGAATTTTAAACAGGAATGTAAAATTTTCTAAAAGCGATAAGCTAAGATTTTAAGGGGATGGGGAAATAGTAAATGCAGAGGACTTGTCATACAAAGGAAAAAGGAGCAACTTATATAGATGATACTAATAAAAGCCTTTAGTCCCCAAATTCAGGAGGCAGAAGCAGAAAGACCACTGGAAGTTTGAGGTACACTGACTCACATAGAGAATCTCGGATTGCAAGAGACATTGTCTCAAGAATAAAAAAGATTTTGATCAGTTATCATAGGCAACTGTTAAATTCTTAATACAATGTCAATAAGTATTGAAGAGACATACGGTTAAATTCTAACAACTTTTCTAATGTGCTTATGTGTGTCCATGTCTGTCTCCATACGAACAGAGGACAGAGGACAGCATTGGATGACCTCTCCTCTGTCACTTTTCTCTTTATTCCTCTGAGGAAGGGTCACTCCCTGAACCTGAAGCTTATACATTTTTTAGATAAGTTTGTATCAGTAATCCCCAGTGATTTTCTTGACCCTGTCCTTCCTCAGCACGGGGATTACAGAAGTTTCTAGAGCACACCTGTCTTGTTGAAGGACACAGCACTCCCGGTGGCCCTTCTGTCTCAGCTTCTCAAGTGTTGGGATGCCCAGCTCCAATAGTTTTTTAATAGTAGAGACACAATTAAGCTTGTCCCGTCTAGTTATTAAATTACCTACTGTCATTCGACTTTCTTGTCACCTCAGTTGATGACTGTGAAACAAGTGGCAAGATATAATTAATTCAAAGAATAAATTAAGTCTTTGAAATGTTTATCCAAAGTAAGTGGATGACTTGTAATATGACTTGGGACTCACAGCAAAGTAAGTTCCTTTTTCATTATAACAGCATGAACTTCAAAAGAAAAAAGAGAGGAAAGAATGAATAACATATGTTCAGTCAGTAAAATGTCTGTCAGAATCAGATATGTCCAACCTGGCACATTATGTTATGACACTGTCATCCACAAAGTTCACACACACACACACACACACACACACACACACACACACACACACAATTTCAGAATGTTTAAAGTAAGTTAATGATTATACTTTAGGGCACATTCATACTATCCTGAGGTGCAAGCAGCCAAGTACCTGAAGGTGGAGTATAGAGATCAGTGATAGAGTACTTGCTTAGCGTACTAAATTTAGTTCCCAAAAAGAAGTTGCACCCATATTAAATATTCTACAAAGCCTGATTACCTGATAGAAATTTAGTGATTGTGGAAAGACTGGAACATTGTAGGTCCAGAGTCTAATTATAATTTACCCTGGACTATCTTTAGTCCTCTTCATAGCTCACCTCTGTGCCTGGCCTATCATCTTTGGAATGTATTAATGTAGCAGACCACTAGCTTCCACTAACCTAAAATCGAAGACAGTCAGTAGATGGCATCTGAGACCCACAGCTGAGGTTCTTCTGACCTCCCTCACGCCCTCACTTTGCTATAACTCACCTATTTGATGTTTCCACCGATGTATTTGAAATATTCTTCCCTCTGTTACTCTAACAATTTCATGAAACTGTCACCATATCAGTACATGGGATTTGGGGTAACCAATTTTGTGTTCCCAGGACAGGGCCACTCACTTTTGGCTCCAGAATAAATAGTTGTCCAACACTTTTTTGTTTGTTTTGTTTGATCTGATCTTTTCAGACAGGCTCTCTCAACATAGTACAAGCTGCCATCAAACCTACCATAAGGTAAGAATGTTTTTTAAATGTCATCAGATTCCGAACACAATAAAAACAAAACATTCAAAACAAGCAGTGCATAGTGACCCAGATCTGCAATCCCACTCTCAGGAGGACGACACAGAAGGATCAGAGCCAATTTTAGTTACATAGTGAATTTGAGACCTGTCACAAAACTAAATTAAGGGACTGGAAAGACAGTACAGTGGCTCCAGATCACTGGCTGTCCCTTCAGAGTGTCCAAGTTTGATTTCCAGCACACACGTGGCAGTTTACAATTGCCTATTAACTCGAGTTTCAGTAGATCTAACGCCTTCTGGCCTTCAAAGGCACTGGAATTCACATGGTACATAGACATACATACAGAAAAAAACAATCATACAGGATAAAATAAAAATAATTTAAAAATAAAAGTAGAGAATAAGTGGCTGAAGAGGTGGTTCAAAGGTTAAGAGCACTTACCAGGGTTCCATCGCTAGCACTCACATCTAGGCTCACTCTGATCTGGCCCCCACCAGCACCAGGCATACATGTGGTACACATGCATGCATACACGGAAAACAGCCGGTCCCCCTCAAAAAGATACATGGGAGTATCTTATTTTTATAAAAAGTGGAAGATAATGGGGGAACAGTATCAAAGTGGACTTTAAGCCAGGTATGTTGCTGCACACCTGTAATTCTAAAACTCAAATGCAGTGACTAAATAGCAACACCCTGTTTCAAAACAAACCAAAGTAGAAACAAAAAGTGACTATATTCAAAGGCCTAGTTTGTTGGTAACACGTGTATTCAAATATCAAACATCCTTTACCTGGACCTCCATAGGCATGACTGGAAAAGGAAAAGCAAGGCTTTTTCATTGGAGGAATACTATCAGAACCAGGCATCCACCCATGCAGGATCACGCTGTTCGCATCTACTTTGCTCACAAATCCAGAGACACATAATACTTCTAATTCTTGAGTGAAGCTGGGAAAGGAAGCTCCAGAACTGTTCCTCAAATCTTTTATGTAGATAAGGTCCTACCACTGTATAAAGTTTTAAATTTCTCCTTACAAGATCTATATTTAAAACAGAGTAGGCAGAGGCTAAGATAAAACCTTTGGCTCACCATCTGTTTTTCCTTTTTTATAAGTGATAAACACACTTGGAAAACCTCAAAAGAGTTTTGTGCTTACTTTAGGAAAAGAGAGCATGAAAAAATTAGTGTGACTGCAGTTCTTCTACAGGATTTGTAGGATGGGGTAGAATGGTCAGAAAGTAGTGTGAAGGATTTATGAAAAACACAGGGGAGAAGAGATGAGATGTCATCAAAAAGTAGGGCGACCCATAGCAAACAGTCACTGCTAGAAAGATGCTCAAAGACATGGAACTTCACTTCAAGGTGATAAAATAAGAAATGGCCATCTGAAGTTAAAGTTTCTTTTCTTTCTTTTCTTCCTTCTTTTCTCTCTTTCTCTCTTCCTTTCTTTCGTTGTTGAGATAGAGTTTCTCTGTGTAGCCTTGGTTGTCCTTGAACTCACCCTGTAGACCAGGCTGGCCTCAAACTCAGATATTTGCTGGCCTCTGCCTCCCAAGTGCTGGGAGTAAAGGTGTGTGCCACTATCACCTGGTAAAATTTTTTTGCTATTGATTTTTTTCTCCATTTGTCATTATGTTGCTCTGCTTTATTCTTGCTTATTTTTAAGAAACTAGATGGCTCAGTGGTTAAGAGCACTGACTGCTCTTCCAGAGAATCCAGATTCAATACCACTCAAATGGTGCCTCACAACTGTCAGAAATTCCAGTTCCAGGAGATCTGGTGCTCCTTTCTGGATTCCTGGGCTCCAGACATGCATGCAGTGTACAGATACACATTCAGACAAAACACCCATATATACTAAAGAAGAAATTAGTACTGGAGTCAGGTGAAGACAAACAAAGCTCACTACAAATATGTTTGAAAATGTGATAACGAGGGCTGCAGATGTAGCTCAGCTGACAGGTACCTGCCTAGCCTACATGAAGCCCTGGTTAACCGCAGAACCACATAAACTGGGAGTGGTGGCACATGTTTGTAATTCTAGTACTTGGGAGGCTGAGGTAGGAGAACCGGAAGTTCAAAAATCATCCTCAGGCTACATGGCAAGCTGGAGCCCAATCTGTGATATTTAAGACTCCATCTCAAAAACAAACAAAAAAATTAAATAGTGCCGGGCGGTGGTGGCGCACGCCTTTAATCCCAGCACTTGGGAGGCAGAGGCAGGCGGATCTCTGTGAGTTCGAGGCCAGCCTGATCTACCAGAGCTAGTTCCAGGACAGGAACCAAAAGCTACGGAGAAACCCTGTCTCGAAAAATCCAAAAAAAAAAAAAAAATCAAATAGTATAATCCATTATTTTCTATATAATTAGTATCATGTGAAAAGATGAATATGATCAAAGTATGTCATATATATGTATAAAAAATGTCATAGTGAAACCCATTATTTTGTACAATATAACAGTAACTACAAAAAGAAACTTGAGGGGGCTGGAGAGATGGCTCAGTGGTTAAGAGCACTGCCTGCTCTTCCAAGGGTCCTGAGTTCAATTCCTGGCAACCACATGGTGGCTCACAACCATATGTAAAGAGGTCTGGTTCCCTCTTCTGGCCTGCAGACATGCACACAGACAGAATATTGTATACATAATAAATAAATAAATATTTAAAAAAAAACAAAAAAACAAAAAAACAAAAAGAAACTTGAAGCTGGGACAATGGCTCAGTGGAAAAAGTGCAACAGAGTTTGGCTTCCCAGCACCCATGTAGAAACTGCAGTGTCAAACTTCTGTACTCAGCACCAAAAGGTGGTGAAGTAGAACAGGCAAACCCAGGACTCAAGTTCAACTGAAAGACTCAGTCTCCAAAAAACCAAAACAAGAAATATTGAGAGTCATACAGAAAAACACCTGACCTTCACACCTACACGCACGCGCGCGCGCGCGCGCACACACACACACACACACACACACACGTTCTTAGACATTATAACCCAACAAATACTTCTATGTGTTGTGTATAGTGAATGCCCTTTTGTTCTTCTTTTTAACCTCAATTATTATCCATCCATCAGAGAATCTAGAAATCTCTGCTGACTTCCAAAAGGTAAATAACATTTTTGCATTATTAGGGAAACAGTTTTGACCTCTAGAAACCCTGGCTCAGCTTGAGAACCCTACTTGACGTTGTTTCTCTCACCCGTCTCCCCATCAATCATTAATGATGACTGAGTTTTGTTGGCATAAATAGCCTACAGGCAGAAAAAGGGCTGAGAACCAACGATTTTCAAAATAATCTTCAAATTCATTAGCATGCACACTCATTCACAGACTAACCCAGATGATTGGAACCCAGATGACTCATTCCATCAAGTGCCCCAGATACCCAACATGAAGCTGTAACATTTGGTGTTTGGGATTCCTCTCACTATCCATCTCACTTCTTCATAAATGGCTAGTAAAATTCAAGCTATTCTTCCAGGGAACATTGTAACTGCAAATGGAATTGTCAATTTGAAAATAAGTGTGGAAATGTATTTTCTCAGTACCCAGAAACTGCAAGCTTAAATATGACACTTTATTCTGAGGCCTCAATACACCTGTCGTTCCCCTTTAATGCTCCAGTAACTTAGATTTATCATTTCTTATTTTAGTTGTTAAAAGTTCTGGCTTCCTTAACACATTCTAATGTATAGTTACTGGTCAGTCCCTTGAAGTAGAGCCAAAGAAACAAGGCAAGTAAAAAAAAAATCATACAAAGGCAGAAAATACAGTCTTTGAAAATAAGTAATTTATGGTAAATGGAGTCAGATCAAAGCTTTCCTTAAGTGGAATTTATATAAAAGGGCTGGCTGCATCTTCCCTATCTCTATTCCTTCATGTATTACACCCAAGGGTGGCAGGCCAGTATTCTCTAGAAAACAGTATATATATATATATATATATATATATATATATATATACACACACACACACACACATCCATTAAAACTTGCTCCATGATATCACATTGATAGTAACTCTGAAGATCACTTTTTCCAATTTCGATTGTTTTGCATATGTGATAATGTCAGTAAGAAGGAGTAGTATGCGGGCGAATAGAGTAAAAATATTCAGAAAGTGTAGGTGTAGGGTCTAGATTCTACCTGTTTACAAGTACACCATCAGTTACAACCTTTAACTGAATGTTGAACTTTTAAAACAAAAGGGACCTGAAGCTAGGGGCAATTCTTTCTGACACACAGGTGAATAATCATTCAATAAAGAAATCCTGGAATTAATTCATGTAAGGAGGGGCTGTCAGAAGTGGTGGTGCGCGCCTTTAAACCTAGCAGCACTCCGGAGGCCGAAGCAAGAAGATCATGAGTTCGAGAATGGCTTAAGCTACACAGAGAAACCTTGTCTCAAAAAAGGAGGGCTGATGAATGAAGAAACAAGGAAGCCATCAGCTGACAAACAGCCGTTTCCTCACCCCATTTTTGCCCCTCCCCACAAGCTGTAGGAAGTAGAAAGCTGCAGATTGTACCTTCCAGGCCAGAAGCAAAACATTGAGGATGGCCAGCAAAGGGCAGGGTCCGTTCTCATTCTGGGTGATGATGGGCGTGTTCTCCTCTTTCCACTGGATCCATTTGATGTGATACACTGACTGTCCGGGAAAGCGTTCTTTGGAGGCCGCTAGCACCTGAGCCGGGTCCTCCTCCTCCTCTTTGCACAGAGGTGCAGCCCTGGGCGGCCCCGCCGCGCCCTCCTCCACGTCTTCGGGGACCCTGGTCTCCGCTCCCTCCTCACTATTGAACTCAGAGCTACTGGGGAAAGAATGCAGGTTGGAGAAAGACTCCAGGGAGTCCAGGCTGGGCGAGTCCCCAGGGGGGCTCGGCTCGCTGCAGCTGCTGCTCAGGGCGCCGGCGCTGCTGGGCTCCTCGGCCGCCTGCTCCACCCCGCAGGTGCCCGCGTCGCCCACTGGTCCCGACCCTCGGCCCGCCGCGGCCTCGGCCAGCTCCGGGGAGGCGGTCACCTTGTGCTGCCCTCTCGGAGGCGCCTCCGAGGCGGCGGGGCTCGGCGACAAGCTGTCCTTCAAGTCCGAGTCCGCGCCGCAGCCGAGCTGTGAAGGGGACGTCGGGTGCCCGGGGCTGCTCCGCGCGGCCGCCGCCCCCTGCCCGCCGCTCTCCACCGCGCGTCCTGCGAGACCATCCTCAGCCTCGCGCCCGCCGTGCCGTCGCCCTTCCGGCGGTGACTCTCGTCCCGCCGCCACCCCGGGATCTAGAGGCTGCGGGCTGTCAGGGCCGCTCTCCATGCCCGGCCGCCCGCCCCTGGTCCTATAGACAGCGCGGCCGGCTCTCCTCAGTCAGCGCCTCCGACGCCATGACAGCCGCTCAGTGGCAGCTCCAGCGCCCTAGCGCGGCCTCGGTCAGGCACGTCACCGGAGAGGGTAGCGGGAGCGCGCGCGATCGCGCGCCCGCCAGAGCGGAGCGTGCCTTCGCGTGACTGTGCTCGGTGAGGCGCGGAGACCCACAGTGAGAGCGCTTCTTCCCCGAGGCCACGCCCCTCCCGCGCGTTCCGTCCAAGGAAAGCTGAGCGAGGCTAGGGGCGTGTCTGGGGGCGTGTCTGGGGCGTGACCAAAGGCGCGGCTCGGGCAGCCGCAAGGCCAGTAGGAAAATAGCCTCTGTGTGGGGCCGGAAGTTGAACTCCCGGGCACGCCCGCTGCGCGCGGTTACTTTGAAGGCAGTCGCCAAGGCTGGAGCGAGTGTGGTCCAGCTTTGGGCTTGTGCCTGGTGAACCCCGACAGTGGCAGTAGCGCTGGAAGAGAGCCATTCTCTGAAGGGCTCCGGAGAGCCGTTTCTTTAGCTTTTAATATCGAAAATTGGAAGCCTTTCTTAGGAAATGCAGATTTTTAAAGGCGGAGATCTGTGGGAGGCTTTTGGAAGACTGCGCTGCACGGGGGCAGCTCTCCCTGGGTTTTGGCTGAGAATCGCCGCTCCCCACTAGCTACTGGTATGCCTTGCCGAGGCTTCAGTGCGGTTGTGGATATTGGCCTACGCCCCAGGAGAGATGGTAAATTTGGGCCAATAATAATAAATTAGTTAGCGTTTGAAGTAAGCCAAGTCTTTGCGGTTCTGTTCACTTGGCTCCTCTTTGCACTGAGTGGGAAGCGCCTGCTCCAGAAAAAGTGACTTTTTCTAATTAGAATTGACTTACCATGAAGCCCTGACGTCTGCAAAGAGGCCAGAGTTGCCTGTACAATTTTTTTTTTTTTTGGCAAGAGTGGATACAGATCTTCTGACCTGTTTTGGAAAAGGATTTCAAAGTTGTCTAGGCTCAGAGGATATAAAAACGAACAAGACAGGTCTTCCTTCAGGGTCAGACATACAAATACCGGATACACCTGTCTCTACTGGTTAGAAAGGTGGACAAGCTAAATGCTTTGCTTTGCTCATTCACATTTTAGCATCAAGTATGTTTCTGAGTACTGTGTTTTACACTGAACGGGTCATTGTTATCTTCTCAGGAATTGCGGTCTTTCTCTCTTGGCCCTCCCTTCCACCTCTCTCTCCTCTTCCTCCTCCAACTCTCCCCTCCCTCCCTTCTTTTCTTTTCTTTTTTTTTTCTTTTCTTTTCTGCCGCAACTTTCTTTTTTTTCAATGCGGGGAATCAATCACTTTGTTTTACTTTATTATTTGTTTTTTGGTATTTTGGGGGGGGGTGTTTTTGTTTTTGAGACAGAGTCACAATATGTAGCCCTGGCTGGCTTGGAATTCCCAGACATATAATGCAAATAGTCTTTCTGTAGTCCCTGTCCAATTAAAGGTTAGAGCTGGCTTTGGAGTTGAAGTGTGGCTCTCTCCTTCTCTAAACCCAAGCATGCTTGTTAAAGTAAAATCCAAAATATCCAAAATCTGTCTCATGTCAGAAGAACCACCTGATATGGACAGAAGAACAACCAAAATTAAGGGACTATGTTATTGCCACTAATCTCATAACCCTTTGGTTTTATTTCAGTTCTTTAAGGCTTTTCTTAAAGTATAAATATTATCTCAAATTTGTAAGATTAACATATACTTTTTAAACTTTTTGTCATGATAGTAATGCTCATATAAAGTACTAATTCCTTTTCCCTCCCTCCTTCCCTCCCTCCCTCTCTCTCCTTTATTCTTTCTTTTCTTCTTTCTATTTCTTTTGAGAAAGTGCTGTGTAGCCCAGACTAAGCTTGAACTCACGCTCATCCTACCTCAGCCTCCCACCAGGTTTCTTCTTATTTTATGTTCTGACATTGTACTAGTTAGTATTTCTTTGTGTTTGTTGTGCTGTGTACTTGGTAACTACAGTCAGTACAGAAATTTATGTTCTTCAGTTATGGGGAATGGATTATTTCTTTAATAATTCCTGACTTTTCTTGATTTTACAGTCTTTATCATTTTTTTCTGTATAGCTTTAATTTTCAAATATTCCTTGTAGTTCCTTTTTATTTTATATTTTAGGATATTGATTATAATTTTATATTATCATTTTGATGTCATGTTTTTTAAAAAAAAGATTCATTAATTTTTATTGTATGCTAATGAGGGGTTTGCGTACATGTGTACCTGGTGCCTGCAGAGGTCAGAAGAAGGTATTAGATTCCCAGAACTGGAGTTACAGACAGTTGTGAGCTATCATGTGGGTGCTAGGAACTGAGTCTGGATCTTCTGCAAGAGCAGCAAGTACTCTTAGCAGCTGAGCCATATCTCTCCAGTCCCACCTTTGTATTTTCCAAAGGGTATTGAAACAGATGCATCAGTAACAAGTACTTAGTAGTGTTAGGGATTGAGACATAGGGGAAAGAGATAAAGAACAAGTCTTACTTTGGGAAATAAGATATTGATAAGGGCTGGGGGGATGGCTCGGCTAGTGCTTTACAAGCATGAGGACTGGCTTTTGGGGCCCCAGCATCCACATAAAAGCCAAGTGCAGTGGTACATACCTGAGATCTCAGCAGTGGAGGGACAGAGACAGCAGACCTAAGGGTTCCCTGACCTGCCTGTCTAGCTGACATAGTGAACTTCAGGTTCAATGAAGGTACTGTCTCAAATACAAAGAGGGTAGAGTGTGGTGGTCCATGCCTTTGGTCCCGGCACACAGGAGGTAGAGGTATCTCTGTAGTTTGAGTCCAGCCAGGCCTACATAGCAAGTTTCAGGCCAACCAGAGCAAAACAGTGAGACTCTGTTTCAAACAAAAAAACCAGACAAACCCACAACAAAGCAAGAACAACAACAACAACAAAAACCAAAAACCACAAAACCCAAACCAGGTGGGAAGTGATTGAGGAGGGAGTGATTGACCTCTGACCTCTACACAATCTTCAAAGGTGAGCACACTAATACACACATGCACAAAAACATACTATCTCCACACACTGAGGCATTTTGACATGAAATTATTATAGAGAATATGTCACAATATTAAATAACTAGTAATAAACAACAAATATTGTAAAAAATTAGAGGAAAGAAACCCATGTGAGTATTGCCTTAGAATTGAGATACAAAATATATATCTCTTAAATATCAAAATTATTATTATTAATTATTGTTTAGTTACTATTTTGGATTGTCTTTGACCACGGTCTTTTTATTTAGCTCAATTAGCCTGGTACAGTACTAACTCCAAAGTTCAGACTGGCCCAGGGTCCTCTAGAGGAGCAGAACTGATAGAATGTATGCATATTAAAAAGGGATTAACTAGAGTCGCATATGACTGAAAGGGACTGGGTGGTCCAATACCGTCTGTCTACAAGCCAGAGAGGCTGAGAACCTGGTAGCTCCTCAGTCAGTGAAGCCATGTTCCTTAGCAGTCCCAATTTGGTGCTGGTGCTGAAGGGCTGCAGAGTTCCTGGAGAGTCCCTGGTCTTCAGTCCACACTAGAGCCTGACGTCAGCCAACAATGGCAACAGCAACAGAGAAAGACACATTCATCAGCAGGAACTGCAGGCAGACAACCAGTGCCGCTGCTTCCTTAGATCTCCTTATATCTGGGCCACCCACCCGATAGGTGCTACCCACTGTGTGGAGGAGGATCTTCGAAGTTAATTCTTCCAGGAAATGCTCTAACACTTCCATGTCTCTTAGTTTGTTCCAGACCCAATCAAATTGACAATCAAGATTAACCGTCGCAGACATCATAATTAGCTGCATCGAAATGAGCCCTGAGCAGAACATGGAACGTGTGCAGGGCATATGTACCTTAGCTCCACCTCATCTAGTTTTCAGTTCAACATATGTGAGTTAAAATCCATGTTTTTCATGTAACTCAGTGACCCTGGCTTTGGCCCTCAGCGGCTTGCAGACACTCCAGCTTCCTGCAAAGTACATCCCCAACTTGATTACTTCCTTTGGCCCCCATGAGGAGCCCTGCACCTGTTCAGAAACAAATTCAGTGCTGTGATAATCGACCAGGTGCTGCCTCTGCACCATGCTGCTTTAGCAGATGCTCCTCTGTCCTGGTGATGTGAAAGGATGGAGAGAAACAACCTTTTCCCCCCTCTATTGTAGTCCTTATGTGCTGTAATAGTGAAAGTTCTCTCAATTGCCCCCATATAGTCTTATCAAAAAATGGAACCTAAATGTGTATTTGGATGCTATAGGTTGTTCTAGGAATGAATCCAAGGAGTATATTTCCATTACTTCCAAATACTCCCTAGTACATGACTTGTTCCTCTAGTCTTAGACCAGTTTATTATTGGGTCGAGTTTAATTGTGCCTGCTTCCTTCTTTCCACAGGACGTCTCTCAAGAAAAAAAAAGTTCTTTCAAGGGTTGGATGTACGTAGCCTATTGGTAAAGTGTGTAATTAGCATGCATGAGGCTAAGGGTTTAATTCCAGAATGAAAACAATTAACAAAATCCTGTCTTGCCAACCAACTATTTTTACCAGATAACTCTCAACTCTGGTACAATTCTCAAAGTATGTATTTTTTGATTGACAATGCCAACATTGTCTGGAAACATCACAAACAAAAATCCTTAGGAATGAGAATGAACGCATCGATCAGTGGTAGGGTATTGGCCTGTTGTAGGCAAGGCTCCAGATGTGCATGTCTTGTGGTGGAGGAGGATCATTCTCTGGTCTTATTTAGAAATGTGATGTTTAAGAAATCCTCCATGTGATTCAAATACACTGTAAAGTTTGATCACTGTACCGAAGGATGTAGCTCAGTAGAGTGCCTTCCTAGTACACACTTGAAGGCTTGCGTTCCATCCCCAGGAAAGCGTCAATTGGGTGTGGTGGTCTGCTATCTAAAACGCAGGAGGTAGGGCTGGAGAGATGGCTCAGTGGTTAAGAGCACTGCCTGCTCTTCCAAAGGTCCTGAGTTCAATTCCCAGCAACCACATGGTGGCTCACAACCATCTGTAATGAGGTCTGGTGTCCTCTTCTGGCCTGCAGACATACACACAGACAGAATATTGTATACATAATAAATAAATAAATATTTATAAAAAAAATAAAACGCAGGAGGTGGAAGCAGGAGGGTCAGGAGTGGAAGGTCATCCTCAGCC